GCAGTTAGAGGAATAAGTTTTATGGAGTCGTTTTGATGAAATATACCTAATAGAATACTAAATTAATAAGATGCAAAGTGCCATCTATTACCAGGATCTTTGACTAACAAGTAGCGCGAAACATCTGTCCATGGTTGGTCGTCTGTGTTCAACTTACAAGCTTATTCAATGGCGACTAGACAGAATCCGCGGCATCTAGCGGTTACAATGGTGACATGACTGACAATGCGAACTGGCATACAGTTCCACTATTCGTCATTTATTTGTCTGGGCGGTCCGTAGGATCTTTGCCCATTAGTCACTGTCTGATGTACGTTAGACAAAGTCAAGGAAAAAGAGAAAGGGAAAGAGAAGAAAAAAGGAGAAGAGCAAAGAAAAACAGATATGCTTAGTTTAAGAGGAAACACCTAGGCTTTTTGACTTGGTACACGGATTAATTTTGAGGTGAACTAAACAATTTTTTTTTGATTCGGTTTTGTTAGAGTGTAATTTTGAGTTTACTAAAGACTCACGCTAACTTTTGATTACAGTGCTAGCCGTGGCCTTGAATGTTTACGAACTTGCTCCACTGTGTAGTCCACTGAGTCACGCAACAGAGGGTTGCTGTGCGATTCCGCTTGACTATAACGTCGCTGCGCCTGAAGCTTGACATAGTCCCTCAAGTAAGGAATGTCAAGGTGTCTGTGTAGTGTCTCATTTGAGACATACCATGGAGCGTTGCAAATTGTCCGCAAAGTTCTGCTTTGCAGTACTTGTAGACTTTGCATGTGTGTGTTGGCAAGAAAACACCAAGCCGCACATGCATAAGTAATGGCTGGTCTAATAATCATTTTATATAGTCGAACTTTGTTTATCAAACTCAATTTGGAGGATCTACATAACAAAGGATATAGTTGCCGAAACGCAATTTGGAATTTTGTTTTTATGGATGCTGTATGTTTCTGCCAGGTCATGCCCTTATCAAGGGTGACACCGAGATACTTGGCAGAATTTGTCCATGGTACACGATTACAGGTCTACAGAAACCTCTGCTGGGGGGCCGCGACGTTTTTTGGTACAATAAATAGCCTGCGTTTTCGAATGATTAATTTTTATCAGCCACCGTTCCGCCCACTCTAGAACTTCGTCCACCGCATTCTGCAACCCATCTTGAACTAGATCACCAGTACATGACTGGGCGACAAGTGCAGTGTCGTCAGCATATAGGTAGACTTCACAGTTGCTGGGGAAAGGGACATCATGGATGAAAAGCGAATAAAGAATTGGTCCTAGGACCGAACCCTGAGGAACACCGGCCCGTACTGGCCGTGTTGTTGACAGAACATTGTTAATTTTGATCCGAAACTTCCTTCCTTCAAGAAAGGATTTCAGTAATTTTAGAAGCCAAAAAGGAAAACCCTTTTGGATTAGTTTATAGAGGAGGCCCGCGTGCCACACATTGTCAAAGGCTTTCGAGACATCCAAAAGCAAGATCCCAGTACTCATGCTAAGGGTGAACCCTCTGGTTACATGCTCCACCAGCCTGACTGCCTGTAGCTCGGTGCTATGCTCGGACCGAAAACCGAATTGGACGTCAGGAATCACATGGTGATTTGACGAAAAATTCTCAAGGTGACGATAAATCACCTTTTCGGCGAGCTTAGAAGGAGCTGACAGCAGACTTATAGGACGGTAATCCTGAGGAAATATCGAACCCACCTTCTTTGGAATCATGATGACCTCAGCAGTCTTCCACCCAGCAGGGAAGTACTGGATTTTGAGCGTCGCATTGATTATTGTCACCAAGTATGTAAGGGCTTTCGGCGAGGGCAGCTTCAACGCGTTGTTGGTGATTTGATCCTCCCCAGGTGCTTTACGCACCTTGAGGTCTTTAATATGACTTAGTAACTCCGCTGGTGTGCAATGTGGAAACTCGGAGGGTTCCGCTAATGTGCTATGTGGAGCCTCAGACGAATCTTCTGAAGAAGAGCCATCTGAAGAGGATTCAGTGCCTCCGCTGACGCCGTTGGCCCTAAAATATCTCCTGACGGATCGTACGATGTGCTGTTCCTCGTCGAGGTCATTATCGAGATCATAGTTGGGAGAGAACTGTTTTTCCATCGCATCAGCGAAAACCTCGACCTTATCCTCCGTTCTGAAGACTATGCCTTCAGGACCGTGGATGTGTGGGAGTTGTTCTCGCTTTCCGTTTCTGAGTGACTTTGCGACCCTCCAGAGAGAAATACTTGAATCAAGCATTCCCGCCAGAAAGTCGCTCCATTGCTCGTTGCGGAGTTCGTGCAGTGCGTTTCTCACTTCATGGACAAGATTTGTAGCCCTACGAATGTCATCAGGATGAGAAGACCTTTTTGCCTGCTTAATAGCGGCTCTTTTGTCAGAGATTTTCTGACGAATGTCCGCAGGCAAAAAAGGTCTGCCGTGTCGTTGTACAGGAAATACAGCTGCACGCTGTAGAGCTGCTTGAATGAAACTTGTCCACTCCGCTTGAGCGGCATCTATTCCAGACTGATCATCTATAATCGGGATATCGGGAAACTCTCTAAGGAGCAACTTGTATAGGTCCCAATCAATGCGTTTCCTTGGAGGAGTTGCCTCCTCAGTAGTTTGCTCATTGCCCACGTCCATGACAACAGGTAGATGGTCAATAGAGATATCATACAAGATTCGAGAAGAGATACTGTATCTACAGTTTTTAGATATCGCGAAATCGATGACATCTGGTGCCTGAAGATGGTTGAATGGATGATGTGTCGGCTCTTCAGTGCTATGTATAAGGCACCCATTTCGCATCACATGGTTGTACAATCGAACCCCACTAGTGGAATTCAATCTAGAATTCCATGCTCGATGTTTGCAGTTGAAGTCCCCTGCCATAATAAGCGGACCCTAGTAGTCCAAAAGGACCTCCAGATCCGCCTCTTGTAGCCTGGCACCACACCTGACATACACCGATGTGATCTTCAACGAGACACCTCCCGCCATATTGACCACCACAGAAGCTGCTTCGATGCTATGCATCTCCGCATTAGTGCTTCTATAATAGTCTATACCGCGTTTAATCAACACTGCTAAACCGCCGCCTCGACCATTCAATCTGTCACCTCTCATAATTCCGGAGAGCTAAACGATCTCCCGGATTAAGCAACGTTTCCTGCAGCAAGGCCACATTTATACCTTCATCCAAAAGAGCTTGATGAAATTCCCGTTTTTTGGGAATATCCCTCATGCCCAAACAATTCCAAAAAAGAATTTTGATGAATGCAGGCTGTCTACTATTGTACCTAGACATTTACAGGAAATATCGCCTGCAACGCTTGGGTAGCGCTAGGGCTTATTATTTGTTGTAAGGACCTTAGCGCGGTTGCCAGGTCCACATTTTGCGTGCTCAAGGGAGGTTGGACAGAGGGGGCAAGCAAGGTTGCCTCCCGAGCTGCGTCTGCGTATGATATATTGCGCCTTTGCGCTATAACTTGCAAGTCCGGCTATTTGCGGGATGTCCCTCTCCACAGTTCGCGCACTTGCGTTCTTCCTCTTCTGTGACGGGGCACAAATGCGTCATGTGGTCCTTTGCACATTTTAGGCATTTGGGCGGTGCAGTGCAATATGACTGCGCATGCCCATACTTTTGGCAGCGGTGACACTGCCCAATGAGTCTGGAGTTCTTCTGAACCTCAACTCGAATGGCCAGTCCCAGCAGTTGAACACTTGCTGAGACTTTTCAGTCTTGGGCAGTATCACGACCACCAAAGGCATGGGCGCACCGCCGCTGCGCTTCAATCGAATGATGTGAAGAGGGCTATATCCCCTCTGCTCCAGTTCTCCCTTAATCTCAGTATCCGAAAAGTTGACGGGAACTCCTCGAACCACCGCATGGATGTTCCGTTCCCAAGGGAGAGGAAAAGTGTGATGGGGCACTTCTGCCTCTCGGAATAGGCGAACGATCTTACGGTAGTCGTCCTCAGATTTAGGAATAATCCTTATTCCCGCATCGACGGCAACCGCGCGATCTATTTTAATACCTAGGGAAATAAACTTGAAATTTAAAGTACGCCATCTCGTCCCGTCGCGAAGCATTAATAGTGTTAAGATTTGATGAATTGGGGGAGGTGAAATGGAATTGATCCTGTATTCGGAAGAGGAGGAAAGTCTTGGGTTGATCGATCAGCCTTGTCGCCTTTCCTCCTTCTTGATTTGGCTTTTACAAATCCTTCAGTCTGTACGTCTTCGTCTGTGGATGTGAGATGATCATCAGTAACGTTTCTCAGTGGTCTTTTTAGGGTCTTTGTCCGTTCTTTAGGGGATTCTTTTGAGTTTAGTAATATGGTTACCTGGGCGGTAAGGCTATTAATTTTGGCTGTCTGGTCCTTGATGCTCTCCATTAGGTCTCGAATCTGCCTCGCCTGGTCGTCTATAATCAGCATCAGTTTTTCGATCGTGTTCTGCTCCGATGATATCTGCGTCAGTGAGCTCATGTTTTCTGCTTCTGCTTGGTTTCCGCCACCGCTCAGCTCTTTCCTCATAGTATGTGGAACTGGGTCGTCTGTTGATCCTCCTGGGTCAACTTCCAACTTTTAAAAACTTTTTCTCGCCAACAAATCTCAGAAAACTTATAGCTCGCAAATGTGACAATGTTGTCAAAACCCTTTTTACAGGGCGTTGGCATACAGTTCCAAGAGCCAGCTTGCTGTTTTCACTTTAGTCGATTCTGATGATAGATGGCACTTTGAACTGTCTCATTTCGATAGACCCTATACTTTGAATAGCACAGACATCGTGAAAAAGCCTACACCATGCTGAAACTGGTAAATATTACGAAACAGCTGCCTATGGTTAGCCGTCTATTATTGTTCGATAAACGAAAAAGCTATATTACTAACATGAAAGTTATGTATATTTAAATTATCAAACTAGTAATTTGACACCATGAATACTGAAAAGTAAAAAATAAATCAAATAAAAAATACATCTTTGAAAACAAGCTTTTATTCTGCTGTTTATAACGTGAACTAAAAATTTAGAATTATTTTTTCCGATTTAAAATGTTTAAACAATAGTGAAGCTCCTTCATTTCAAGTTTTCAAATAAAAGCGTGTTACGTTTTGACAGTAGGATGGAAAAGGCCTTTATTTGAAGATCGTTTAAATATTTTCAATCGGAAAAAATATTTTAAAATTTTTAACGAAAACTTGACAACCATGCATTTTCTTGAAGAAACTAGATAAAGGTGGAGCTCCAGATTCTACGTCAGAGTGCAATTCAACTGCTGTTAAAAATGGTGGTTGTTATTAAATTTTTAAAATTGATCTTTACCTATCCAAAAGTTGAGACCACGCTGTGTCGGAATGAGAGATTTATTGACGTCTTGCATGCTTTTACAACCTTTGTTAAGATAGTATAGGAAATATAGTTATCTCTGAACACAAGAAAGGTAATAATGGAGATACATATTTTTACAAACTTACGGAAATAATTTTGCGCCCAACTATCATTCCTTGTCTTGCAACCAGGCTATGATCTTTTCTGGTAGAAAAACTGGTCGATATTGTTCTGTTTCCATGGCTACCATTCTTCTTTTAACAGATATACATTCCTGTCTCCCAAATCCACAGTCGAATTTCTTCACTACTGTAGGCATTGGTCTAGGAGGTATAGTGGGCATATCAACTGTAATGGGAGGAATAACAGGTGAAGATGGGATAGATTTGCTTGTTGTAGAACGTGTTTCCGTTGTTGAAGGTCTTCGTGAGGTTACTGTTGTTGTTAGGATTGATTTTGTAGTTCTTGGAATTTTAGTTGAGGCTGCTTTGGTTGAGGGTGCACTAGATTTTGTTGTGACTGGAATTTGTGTAGTCGTACCTGCCGGGGACTTGGTTCTAGGCCCAGTCGTTGTACTCGTTCTATTTCGGCACCCTGCTTGATCAGGATAGTCGCACACGTGTAGGACTGGGTTGAAGTCCAAGCCTTTTGCGCATTTTTGTAGCTTCGGCTTGCCGTTAGGCCCACATTCGTAAAACAAGGAGCAGTTACTTTCATGGGGAATGTAAGTTGATTCAGATGATCGATTAGGTGGACATACTACTGAACGAAGGAACGGTTCTAGAATATTTGATAGTAAAATGATGGGAGCACTACGTGTTGGTGGATTCGTTATAGGTGCAGGAGGGCTTGTAGTGCTATTATCTGGTTTACGGGTGAGTCGACTTGTAGGAATGACAGTAGTCGTAGAAGTTCTGTTTCGGCATCCTGCACGCTCGGGATAGTCACATACGTGCAACACTGGATTGAAGTCCAAGCCCTCGGAACATTCTAGCAATTTAGATATGCCGTTAGGTCCGCACTCGTAAAACAAAGAGCAATTCGTCTCGTGGGGGAAGTAGGTTGGCGTCGAAGTTCGTTTTGGTGGACATGATGCTGAAACAAGCAATGATTGAGCTGCAGAATAATTCCACTTGAGTTCAGCGGCAGTATATAGGTGTAGAACGCAAAATGTCATACGGTACTCCCCTACAAAGACCTCGTGAGTCACGTAAATTTGAATTTTTTGGGAGACAATAAAATTGTCACCAACAAATGAACCTGCTTTGAAGTATTTGTTTGGGCTTAATATATTTGAGATCCAAGAGATTGAAATTTCGGATAACCATCATAGTTAATTGATAACAATAGTAATAATAATATTTATTTACTCAATAAATACATGTAACATGAAATGAGAAAATAAATATAATTTATCCATAGAAGGAAAATGTCTGTGCATGGATCAATTGTACGTCAAATTGCAATAGATAAAAAAAAAGAAAGAATACAGAGAAAAAAACATAATTATTTGTAAGACTGATAGTATTTACTGTGTAATATCTGAGATTATTCTAATAATGTTGTTTCTTACAAGCGTGTTAATCCATTTTTTAATTACTTTTTTTGAAACTTAATGTATTACATAATTGTTTTAAATTGTTTCGTCAATGTTCATACGATTTTGGAACTAAATTCAGGTGAGGTCGTTTAATTACAGATTTGTTTGGTATAGGAACAGTTATAATAAAAGATCCCAAAAAACTGTCATAGACTTACGTTATTTTAGCGGAATATGGGATTAGTCATCACATTAACCACATTTCTTATTGCCTATCATTGAAACATTTAAATATTGACTTTATAACATGCCACATGTTTCAGTTTTGTATGTTTTAATATTTTTTATCTATTTCATTTTTTGGACATGGGCAAGGATCAAATTGGGCAACATGGGCGCCAGTGGAAACTTTTCTCAGGCAGGGCGGATGCTAACACGAAATAACCTGTTGTAAAAGTGTACCTGCGCCAAAACTTTTTGAAAATCTAGGAGTAGCAAATTTTCTTAGGGGAGGGGGTCACATCTTGCTCAAAATTGTACACAAAATCATGATAAATATGCAAATTTTACGGCTCATGTCTGGATTCTCAGGTGGCTTCGTAAAAGAGCACATAGACAGGCATCAAAATGTATTTTTCTATATAATATTGACATTCCATAATAGGTGTTGTGTAATTCCATCTTTACGAACAGCTATTTAAAACATTTAAGCCATCTTTAAAGGACCTTCTCAGTCACCCAAATGGATTGCGTCAATGGTTTTGGTAGAAAACAAGAAAACTCTTAAGCAAATGATTCAGGGCAAAGCGGATATCTGTAACCTTATTTTTCTTGGTTTATGAATTTAATATGGGTGTTTTGGTGCACATAAGTATCAAGGACTCTAGTACTGTATTTGAAATGACCCAGTCAAGTACCCACGGTCGAGAGGTGCATGGAAAAAACCACGGAAGTTCTGGACTTGTTTTTGCCGTGTATTACGTAGCATTGTATGAAGGGGAATGAATGGTGTGACTGACGAGGTTTATACCCATCAGAATACGTTCCAGCTATCGTTAACGAAGCGTTTTTAGTATAAAGAGCATTTTGGAAAAATACATTCGAAATGAGCGATTGAATTGTCTTCCGATTTCCATTGGCATTCTTTAAGGGCATGTATTCTCGTTTAGAACAATTTTTTATAGGAAATATGGAATTTTTTTTTTGTTGTTCAATATGGTTTCCAAAGATTTAGGATGTTATTATCGAACACCTTGTATACTACACCGAGTAGATATGCTATATAAAGTTTACTGTTGTAGAGTACTATGAATGATTAAGCATAGCTCAGTAGCTATATTCCGGAGTACTAGTAAAATGATTACTAGTCCAATCATTTAGCAAATTTCCCCAAGATAATTGTAAAGTCGGATTCTAGTGATGCAAGTTGTTCAAGGGGGTATTTAAAACATGGACGCATAGAATGGGTACACCAATTTTTGAGGGAAAGCTTTTTATTCGACAACAAAGAATGGGAAAACGTGTTTTTGGGATTCAATTGAAATTGTTGACAGGAACGAGAAAACTCTTCAGTTGAGATTTTTAGGTATTTATGAGACCTTCAAAATGAGACCACATGTAAAGAGATCCGACTAATAGTAAAAAAGTTATGGCCGGAAACCGAGGCAAAATGCAGGTTTTGGCACTTGTTGATAATGCGACGATAATTTCACGCAGCTACTTGAAATTCTTCTAATCCGTAGGCTTCATACTTCTTAATAACCACAACAAAATTGGAGTCGGTTGGTATAGTAGTTTTTGAGACTTTCTAATTGTTTATCCCAAAACACCTGTCTTCCGGCCATCACTACTAGTTTATTGAGCAATATACGGAAAACGAAGGGCTACGTTTTTTCGTTTAAACAAATTCAAACATTTCGTATATGTGAGTAACTAAACAGATTCGCTACGATATTCGAAAAACATACGTTATTATACACAATTTAAAATAAAAAAACAATCTGTTTTCAAGATTTCTTAATACTCTTGTGCATACATATTTAGAGCTGACATTTTTACACGTTCACAGATGAGCCCTAAAGTTTATAAAAAAAATATTTTATACTGAAATGCGTTGAACTGTTTGTAAAGTTAGGTCTCATTCTGTAGGTCTCATTTATATCTAAAAATCTTATTTGAAGAGTTTTTTAGTTCCTGCCAACACTTTCGATCGAATCCCAAAAACGGGTTTTCTCATTCTGTGTTTCCCACAAAAACTGGTGTACCCATTTTATGCGTCCATGTTTTAAATACCCCCCTGAACAACTTGCATCAATAAAACCAGACTACAATTATTACGCAAATCAGGGGTATTTTCGTCTGATTTGATTAGGCTGTGTGTGTGATTATCGTGATTACTGTGTGCTAAGTAAAAATAGCACTTTCAAGTGGTTTTATCTTGTCAAAAATCTTTTGGTACATTCTGAGCAACCACTTTGCCATAACACTGATATACTCTTTTTGCACTTAAATGAATATATTTATCGATGACATAAGGTGAGATAACGTAAGGCTGACTAAATGCCCGATTTCTTGAGCATGCAAGATTGCAATATGAAAGTACTGGGTGCGCCATCTATTACTTTTTTAAGTTTATGTGTTACCATGTGAGTCAAAAATTATGTGGGATGCATAAATGAACTGTCAAAGGTATGCCATTTATAGTCATGGATTCGCTTACAACACAACAACGCATGTTGGTTACCCAAACTTATTCCGAAAACGGTCGAAATATAAAAAATACTTTTCGCAAACGTCGCACTAGTTTTGGCCGGCATGGACGCCCTACAGAGCCTGACATTCGTTGGATTGTTAATCGTTTTGAGGAAACTGGTTCAGCTGAAGGTCGTAGACCATACTAACATGCTCGTCCAGCTCGTACTCGTGAAAACATATCCGCAGTGAGAGAAAGTGTGCGAGAAGATCCAACCACCTCGACCAGGCACCGTTGGCAACAATTGGGAATTAGTGAGACCACTTTGCACCGGATTTTACACATTGATTTACACCGCCATTCATACAAAATCCAAGTAACACAAGAATTGAAGCCGGCAGACCATCAACAGTGGCGTATTTTTGTTAACTGGATGCTGGAAAGAGAAGACGGATTTTCGGCCAAAGTGCTCTGTTCTGATGAGGCTCATTTTCACCTCAATGGGTACGTAAATAAGCAAAATTGCAGATTCTGGGGGGCTAAAAATCCACACCAATAATGAGAACAACCTCTTCATCCTGAAAAAGTGACTGTTTGGTGCGGATTATGGGCTGGTGGCATCGTTGGACCATTCTTCTTTAAAGATGCCGAAGAAAAGGCCATTACCGTCAACGGGCAACGTTATCGCGGCATGTTAACATACTTTTTGTGGCCACAATTGGATCGTATTGGTGCCGACGATCTTTGGTTTCATCAAGACGGACCAACGGCTCACACATCTCGCCAAACAATCGCCTTATTGCACACGAACTTTCAAGACCGCATAATTTCAGAAAATTCAGATGTCAGTTAGCCCCAGAGATCGTGCGATTTAACACCTCTTGACTATTTTCTTTGGGGAGTTTTGAAAGGAAAAGTATATGCGAATGGCCCCCGGACAATTCAAGACCTAAACCGCAATATTCGGACTGAAATTGCGGCAATAGACCCGATTATTCTGGGAAAAGTCATGGAAAATTTTGATGAAAACGAAACCGCGGTGGTCACATGACTGATCTTATTTTTCATACATAAATGGCACAAATCAACCTTCATTTATCAATAAAAAATTCGATTTCACCTCGTAAAAAGCGTGTTGATTTTTCAAATAGAAAAAAAATAATAGATGACGCACCCTGTATCTTAACGGTAGTTTCCTGCGAAGCATGAAACTCATAGAAATGAGAATCTGGGCGTTATACTCCACTGCTTTACCCTTAGATTGTAAAATACTTTAATTTTAACAAAATTGATGGAAGAGTCCTATATGGGTTATTTTTTTATTCTACAGGTATTCAAGTTACGATTGGCTAAATTGAGTGACAATGGTTTACAGGAAATCAAAGGATTCACGACTGAAAAACTGTTTAATTTTCTCATTGTATAACTGAGGGAGAGAGTAGGAGACAAAAATAGAGGACATTAAACATATGTATTTAGTATGGTTGACAGTATGTAGTGTTTATAGGAGAGATCAGAAACCTACAAGGTTGATATCCCTAAGCTCTAATTTACTAATCCAAGGCGCAAAATTTGCACCTATGGCACAAATTCGACCAATGAGAATGCGGTTCTGAAGTAATGGACCTAATGAGTATAGTCGATTTCTTGTAAAACGTTTCTCAAACTAGAGAAAATTTTATATTAAATCGAGAAGTACTTCTATATCACCTGGCTACAAATGTCTATTTTTCCATTTATGCCAGCGTGATGGTGGCAAGGTATGCCTAGAAGTTGCGATGATGATGCCAGCGGTTGGCTGTTAAGGAAAGCAAATTTAGCACTTAACACCTGTTGAACATAAAAGAAACAGGATTTTTCGCA